AGCATCTGCTGCTGTTGTTGCTGCTGTTGCTGGAGTAGCAGTGCCTGTTGTTGCTGCAACTGTAGCTGAAGCGACGGTCCGCCACCGCCAGAAACGCCTTGCTGCTGTTGCTGAGGAGACTGCATCAGAGCAGGCGCAACTGCGTTAGCAGCCATGGATGACGTAGGTGCGCTCATATTGGCCACCGGCTGGGCAGGCATAGCATTCGGAGAAAACAGCTGCGGAGGCATCTGCGACACGCCTGGCTGCTGCGGCTGCTGTTGGCCGTTAGGAATTCCAGCAGGAGACGCCGAGGGAGCACGCTGCGGCGGCAACTGATGTGCGATTGATTTGGCACTGGGCGTAGGCGAGGGGGCAGCGACATTGCCAGTACCCTCCGACTTGGGCCGGATACGACGGATAGCCTCGGCGGCGGCAGCAGCCGAAGCACCAGGCGAAACTACACCGCCAGCACCTGCACTGCCCTTTGCCAGCCCAGTGGCTGCCAGCGGGCTGTTATCGGCATGGGGCAGAGGCGTGGCTGCCAGTGAAGCAGCGGCAGGGAGCGAGGAGGCGCCTGGTGTGGGCGACTTGATTTTAGGCGTTCCCTTGCGACTAGCCTTGGTCTTTGTCGCACGCTCGGCCTTGGTGCTGCCTGTGGCAGCATTCTTCTTCGCCTTCGATTGGCGCGGTTTCTTGGTAGCCGGAGTGGGCGATTTGATTGCCGCGGCAGGTGTCGCTGGTGTTGCTGGCGCTGCTGCTGGAAGCGGAGGTGGCATTGATGGCTGATGAGGAACCGGCTGCTGCTGCTGCTGCGGGAGGGTAGGTGGAGCCATTGACGGCGTACCATATGGCTGCTGCTGCTGCTGCTGGTTGACGGACGCCATCGAGGGCGGGAATGCCTCCAGCTCGGACGGAACGAGTGTTGCCATTGGCGAGGTATGCGAGATCGTAGCGGCGCTTGACTGCGCCGTAGGCAAGGGCTGGTCGGCAATAGCAGAGGCAGCAGCGGCCGACGCGCCTGAGGAAACAACACCTAGCTGGCTAAAGATGGCCTCCATCATGGGATCGCCCTGAAAGAGCATCTTCAGGGCAGCCGGATCGAAAGAGGCGCCGCCCATGTCCAAGCCAAAGGCCGACAGATCGACCCCCGCGGCGCTGGCAGCGTTGGCCCCAGACGTCTGGTCACCACCCGTCGCGGCGGCAGGAGCTGTGCTGAGCGAGCCTTGCGTGGCAGTGGCTGGGGTGTTCGTGTTGGCTGCCGAGTTGGGGCCAGCTGTGGAGGGAGCAGAGGCGAACTCGTCCATGTTGAAGAACAGGTTTGTGTCGGCAGCACCCATGCCTCCGCCCCAGAGGTCATCGAGAGACGAGTCGCCGTTGGCGCCGGCATTTCCGCCGTTGATGTACATGGAGGCGGCTTGGCTGAAATTCAGACCAAAGTCGTCATTGCTGTTGTTGTTGCCAGTAGCGTCCATTCCATTCGGATCAAACCCTGACATCAGCTATCGAACGGACGAGATGGTGATGGGGGTGCGCACAGGATAGTTTTTTTCTTCCAGTACGCCCAAGCAAAGTGGAATGCTCTCAAAGCGCGCGCGCGTGTACACTCGGTAAATAAGACAAGTCACTACACTCTTCCTCTCGCCCCTTTTGTCTGTGCCAAAAAGAGATGGTGGGGGGGGGAACGAGTCTGGCGAGGGTAGTGAAGACGAGGAAATAAGACGTGTCTGTCTGACTGGCGTACGAGTCGAAAGCTGTTTCCTACAGAACAGAACGCAGAAAGCATAGTGTAGAGTGCAGGGTGCAGGGTGTAGAGTGCAGAGTGTCGAGCGTATTGAGCAAACGCAATAGCCCATATCCTATAGCTTATAGCTTATAACCTAGCCTGCTTAGACCGCCATATGCCGTGCAGAAGAATAAAGGTATTCCTTTTGTTTGGTAAGCACACACGGCTAAAGGTGTGGCAAACAGACGCAGGAGAAAGAATAAGACGGGAAAGGCTTGGGCGATAATAGGCTGCTTCTGGATTTTCCCAAGGGCACGCGAGAAGCAACGACGTGGGGGGGAGGGTATGCGCTAGTAGAGTGCTAAAGGGCGTGCACACCAAAAGTTTGGAACCGCCTGCGTGCGTGTGTGTGCGCGCGCGTATGAGGGGCGAGGAACACACGCTAGGAGAGAGATGCGCCAGCAAGCGCAGAAATTGGCACAATCGCAACACCCAGCATGCCGCCAGCAATTATAGAAGCAAAGCGGACTTGGCTTTCCGCGCAAGACTCGCTGCTGCCGCCAATGCTAGACCTGCTGGCGCGCCCCCCCTCAGGTGGGAAATTGAGGCAATTTTGGACTGGGCGGGCTTACACTTGCACACCGCGCTAAGGGGCTTTGGCTGGGCAGAAGAATATCGACGCAAGAGACTGTAGCATACACCCAATGGGCCAGAGGAAATTGGAAAACCCGAGTCGGAGCGAGCAAAGAAATAATAATAATAGTAGGGCGTGTGGGCACTAGAGGGCAAAGCAAAGGGCAGAACGCGTTCTTTAAATGTGCTTTTTTCCCTCTGCTCCCCCAAACCAATCGAGCAGAAGTAACAAACGGCGGCCCCTTTTTTGCCAAAGAGGCGATAATAAGAAGTAGAGGCAAGCGCACATCGGCTTCATAGACGGAGACGGGGGAGCCAAAAGCAGGTTGGCTGTTGCGGTGCCGTATGGCAGGGAAAACGAGAAGCGGAAGCACAGGATATTCATAATCGTACGAGAACGCTGTGGCCGTCTGCAGCCCGCCATCGCGGAACAGAAATAGCAGCCAAAAGACCTCTCGGACGGTGGTGCGTTCAGACCGGTGCGCACCAAACCCGCGCTGTCGCTGGGCACGCTTACCTTTTTGTTTCTCGTATCAGGAATGAAAAAGAGATGTGTGAGGGATGCTGATAATGATGCCTCCTGGAAAAAGAGTATGTAGAAAAGAGGGGGAAGGGAAGGGAAGCGTATGAAATATGAAGCAGAGAAGCGCTGATATGGATTGATGCCTAAAAGAAATACTCGGGTCTCCTACGTTGCTTGTGCTGGGCTCCCGGCTGGAGATAATAGGAAGGGTATACAACTAACTTGGAGAGCGAGGAAGAGACTAGCCACAAGGAAAGCAAGCAAGCTATTATTATTATTTCTCGGCTGGAGGAGAGGGGGCGAAAGCGAGAAGGCGAGGAAAAGCGCCTTTTCCCCCCCTGCTCAAAGCCCAGCTTTCCACCTCCTCCCTGGCTCGCCACCGCCAGCAGCCATCACCGCGCACCCTGCCAGGTGGTTGGCTGCAATCAGTCGGCTCGCCCAGGATCGGCTCCCCTCTGGCCGAGCCGCGGCGGCAACATTGCCACGGCCTGCAGCGCCTCCCCCCTCATGCACGCGACAACCCGATATCCAGAACAGCAGGGCACAGCCCACAGCAGCGCACATGCACATCTCCATTTACTGGATGCCTGCCCTACTCGACGGGCAGACCGCTGGTGTCGAACTTGATGATGTTGTTCTTGCCGGCAACAATGATGTCGTCCTCGCCGAGCTGAATGTTGCCCACGGTTTCGGCGCCGGCGTAGTTCCTGTCCAGCTGGTTGTGCAGCTTCCGGGCAAACTCGCGCACGGTCATGCCGGGCCGCACCAGCACGCAGTCCTGGAACGCCGCGCTCGAGCCATCGGCCGACGCACCAAAGTTCGCCAGGTTTTTGACAGGGAACACGGGCACGATTCCCAGAACCTCGACCGCGCGCACAATGACATCCTGCACGCCCGTCGACCCGTACCTAAACAGGACCAGGTCGCGGATGTTCTCCAGCCGCCGCCGCACCTTCTCGTCCAGCGGCTTCAGGTGGAGCTCGTCGCCGGCATCCTCGTCCTTCGTGGCAAAGTCGTCTGCGCCGGTCTCGTACTTGATGTACCCTTGCTTGTCCATCTTGCGCAGGAAGCACTCGCCCAGGGCCGATGTCAGCACGACGTTCTCGCCCTTGACGCCGTCCCTCAGCGGCCCGCCGCCACGGCCGCTATTTCCGTACCGCTTCAGAATCGCGGCAATGTTCTTGTCTGCATCGGGCATGTCGATCTTGTTGAGTGCAACGATGGTCGGGAACCGCTCATCGAGGAACGCCTGCACAAACAGCACCAGCTGCTCCTGGTCCCACTGGCTGATGTCCGTCTTGACCCTGAACCGATCCATGGTTCTCTGGACCACTTCCTTTGTGACTCCATATCCAGCCAGCTGCCCATGCAGGGTGTCCACCACGGACGCCTTGACTGCCTGGTGCCTCCGGACGGTGCCCGGCCACTTCTTGTTCAGGTTGTTAAAGATCCACGACTGCACCTCGCTCCTCAGCCACTGGATGTCGTTGATGGGGTCGTACCCCTTTGTCTCCTTGCCGCCGGCATCGGTGGTGCCCGACGCATCGACCACGTGGATGAGCACGTCGGCGTGCCTCAGGTCGTCCAGGAACTGGTTCCCCAGCCCCTTGCCCTCCGACGCGCCAGGCACCAGCCCGGCGACGTCGAGCAGCTTGATCGGCACAAAGCGTCTGCCGTCCTTGCACCAGCCGTGGCGCGGCTTGCAGCGGTCCGAGCGGTTGTACTTTTTGCACGGGCAGTCCACCGGGTAGTATGCGATGCCCTGGTTGGGCTCGATGGTTGTGAACGGGAAATTGCCCACCTTGGCTGTGGCATCTGTCACGGCGTTGAGAAACGACGACTTGCCTGCCGAGGGCTTGCCCACGCAAGCAACGACAAAGCTCGAGCTCATTCTGGCGAAATGCAAAGTGGGGGTGCCGCAGCAAGGAGGGCGTAAGAGCAGGAGGTGTCTGGGGAGGGTAAAGGAAGCGAGCAATGGCGCGCATGGGGAGTGCGGTTGCAGTCCTTGGGCACAGCCCCCACACAAAGGGCGAAAATATTTTTTTCAGTGCTGGCCGCAGATCTGCCAGTCCAGCCCGGCTGCTCACATAGCCGCATTTTCGCAGCGGCAGCTGAGAGTCGGTTGCGGATCGATCACGTGCCTTGCTGGCCAAGTGGTAAGGCGTCTGTCTTGTAATGCAGGTGCGGTGCGCCTGGGTTGCCAGCCAACAGAAGATCTCCGGTTCGAATCCGGAGCAGGGCATTCTTTTGTTCTTGTTTTCTTTTTCGCTTGCCTGCCTGCGTGCCTGCCTTTCAGGCGCTGGCTCCATTCCTTTTTTTTTCTTTTGAAGCGCGTGCAGCTGGGTGGGTCGTGGGAGAGAAAGTGGTATTAACGAAAGAGTAGGGAAATGGGGGGGGGGTTGTGGTGGTGCTATAGTGGTGGATGGGGGGGGGGCTGTCCTTGCTTGCCTCAGTCGAGCTTCTTCAGAGCAGCGGCGTGCTGGTCCTGGTGGACCTTGTCCTTGTGGAACTTGAGCAGCAGCAGGTCGCCGATCTCGCTGATCTGCTCCAGCGCATAGTCGAGGTCCTCGCGGGTGTGCGACGCCGAGATGCAGAAGCGCACGCGGCCAGTGATGATGGGCGTGGCGGGGTACGACACGACGACGACGGCGATGTTGCGCTTGAGGCACTCGCGCGAGAAGGCGGGGATCTTGGCGGGGCTGAACAGCAGGAGCGGGATGACGGGGCTTCCGGGGTCGCCCATCGTCATGAAGCCCATCTCGGCCAGGCGGCGGGCAAAGTAGCGCGAGTTGATCGCCAGCTGGTCCAGCCTCTGCTGGCCCTCCAGCGCGTGCTCCCTGTCCTCGCCCATGATCATGCGCATCGACGCGCTGACCTGCGCCAGCACTGGGACGCTCATGGCCTCGGCGTAGACCGCCGAGTGGGAGTGGAGGCGCATGTAGTCGATGAACGCCCTGGTTCCGGCGATGTAGCCGCCGGCCGCGCCAAAGCTCTTGGTGAACGTGCCCATCAGAATGTCGACCTCGCGCGGGTCAACGCCAAAGTGGTCGCAGATGCCGCGGCCGCGGGGGCCCAGGGCGCCGACGGAGTGCGCCTCGTCAACAAACAGGTAGAAGCCGTACCTGCGGCGGAGCTCGACAATGTCGGGCAGGTTGCAGAACTCGCCCTCCATCGAGTACAGGCCCTCCACGACCACAAGGATCTTCTTCCACGGGCGGTGCGTGCGCGGCTGGCCCTGCGAGATGTTGCGCCGCAGCACCTTCTCCAGGTCCCGCGTGTTGTTGTGGCGGAACACGCGGATCGTGGCGCCCGACAGCCGCGCGCCCGAGACAAGCGAGCTGTGGTTGAGCTCGTCCGAGATGATCAGGCAGCCCTTGCCCACAACTGCCGGAATGTTCATCGCGTTGGTTGCGTAGCCCATCGAGACAATGAGCGCTGCCTCCGTGCCAACAAACCGCGCCACCATGTCCTCGGTCTCCGCCAGGAGGCGCGTGCGCCCGGCCTCGGCCCGCGACGACCCCTGCGTGATGCCGTTCTCGATCATCGCCGCCTCGACCTTGTCCGCACACGGGCCCTCGCTCTGCGCAAAGCCCAGGTAGTTGTACGACGCCAGGTTCAGCGCGTTGGTCAGGCGGCCGGTGAACTCAAACGTCCGGTTGAAGTCGTGCGACACGCGGTCAAGCAGGTTGACGTGGCCGCCCGCAACGCCCGTGATGGGGCGGTTGAAGCAGTCGCGGATGCGGCCGTACAGGCGGCGCGTCCACAGGCTCTCAAAGTCCGAGACCATTGGCGCATAGCCGTTCTGCTCCCTGAGCTGCACGTACTGCTCGGGGTAGAAGATCTTGCCAAAGAAGTCGCGCAGGTGCGCAAACACGATGAGCATCAGGTAGCTCAGGTACGTCGTCACCAGGATGAACGACGGCACTGCCTCGAGCTCCGGCGCCTCCTCGCGCCTGCTGCTGCCCGCCGCCTGCTGCTTGGCGGCCTCGGGCGTAGGAGACACCGTCGAGGGCCTGCTGCTGCCCTTCGCCGGCTGCTCGTGGCTGAGGACCAGGTTGGCAGCGGAGATGCACGTGGCAGGCGCAGGGGAGGCCGCCGCAGCCGCCTTGTCGCCGAGAAGCGAGGCGCTGGTGGAGGGGGCGACCTTGAAGGGGTTGCCTCCAACCACCAGACCGTCCTCGTCGCGGGCTTGCTCGATGAACTCGGTGCTCTTGTATGACTGGGTAGCGCGCTGTCCCTTTCCCATGGCTGCGAATAATAAAAAGCAAGATAATTAACTGGCGTGCACTGTGGTGGCAGATGCTGGCAGAGGGGTGTATCAGAGTGCTGTATAAACAAAAAGCTGCGGTGTGCTTAGGCGGGATGAGAGGCTGCTTGGGCAGATTTCGCAAAGGTCAGCAAAAGAGAGAAAGAGAGAAAGAGAGAGTGGGCGAAATGGCTGTGCTGCTATAGGACAACAGTGCGTGGTGTTTGGAAAGGAGGCGAGAAAAACAAGGCTGCTGGAAGTGGAGAAAAGAAAACATTGGGGTGGGCCGAGGCTCGCGTGTGGCCGCCCGCCCGCCCCCGTCTTTTATAAAGGATCTCTCTAAAAGGCTCTGCACAGAGCTCACGCCAGCGCATTTTCGGGCCAGAACGAGGCGAGGGAAAAGGTGGCGAAAGGCCCAGACCCCTCCCCAAGAAAAAACAACAGCAAAAGCGCATGCTTTTGTGCGCCTTGTCTTTCCGCATCATCTCCCTCCCCCCCAAACGACCAGCAACAAATCGCCAATGTTGTCCACCCCCATCTCAGCGCATGTAGACCGCAATCCATGCACGCCAGCCAATCACCAGCGGGCGCCCCGGAAAGCGACTTGCGGTGCGGATATCTCGTCTGGGCTGCCTAATTTCTCCCTGCGTCCACACAAGCCTTCAGCTGAAGCAAGGGCACACGCTCGCACTACAGCTCCAGCACCTGCACGGCACCACAGCGGGCAGTCAGCGTCTCTCGGGGGGCTTGGAACGAGCACGGCCAGCCGGATGCTCCGGTTGGTGGCATTGGCGGAGACCCCCCCGTCTCTCGCCGCCCGCTGCATCAATATCTGCTGCTTGGCTCTTCTGCGTCCTGGCGGAGTGCTTATTTTGTGTTTGTCCATGGATGACACCCGCGCCCGGACACATGTCCAAGCGCGTCCGCACGGATGTGCGAGTGAAATGCTACATACGAAGCACTAATGCGAAGCGGTGCAAGGGTGCAGCGGCAGCCGAATCCCGAGGGGAGGGCTCTGGCCAAACAGTCGCACAGAAAGCTGCCTGTGGCGAATATGAAGGAGGCGCTGAGCTCATCGCGCTCTCCCCCCTCCTCTTTCGCCGTGCCATGTGCTGCTGGAAAGGCCAGCTCTGACGTTTGCTGTGTCTGCATCTCCGCTGTGCTGCAATCCCGCACCCACACTCAGCAGCAGCTGGAAACTCCACTGAGAAAGGCGCTCCTTTTGTTTATCCGCCAGTGCCCACACACTTTGATAAGGGACCGCCCTGGGACTGCATGCCCTCATGCGGGCCAACGTTGCCTCTGCGCAGTTAGTTATTCTTAGAACGACAAAAATACTGGCAATCTGCAAAAGGCGCATCACCCCATGCAGCCCTTGGAAGCCAAATCAGCCAGAACTGGCCCTCTTATTATCAAGGAATAAGCCAGAACCATACACATAGAAATCAACGAAGGCACGAGCGCGATCACTCACTCGTTCCGCCAGGCGTTGAGCATAATCTGCTGCACGCACATCAGCGCCTCGTAGCGCACCTCGGGGTACTCGCTGGTCATCAGAGCCATGACTCGGGTCTTGGCGCCAATCCTCGCCAAGAGCCGCTTGCCATCGGGGTTGAACTTGATGTACTGCGACAGGTCATGGCACGCCACCGCCAGCGCCGTCTCCCCGGCCGTCGACGACGCCAGCACTGCGGCCAGGTCGCGGACGACCTTGTGGTCGTTCTCGTCCATCTTGCGCACATGCAGCTTCCAGAACTGCTCCGAGCGGTGGGCGGGGCTCCACTCGAGCTTGCCCGACGCCACCTCGTTCAGGTACTCGTCCCACGTGGTCATGACGCCCGTGTGCGTGGCCAGGTCTTCGGCAAGCTCCTTGATGCTCTGCTTCAAGTCCTCGTCCTTGAAGTTGCGGCCGCCCGACAGCGTCTCCAGGCACGCAGGCACCTTGGCCACCAGCATGTTGGGCACGTTGCTGTCAGGCGCCAGAGAAAGGAGGTTCTTCCACGTCTCGACGATGATGCGGATGACCTTTTCCTTGACCGCCGACCGCGCAATGTCGACCATCAGCGGGATGACGTCGTACTTCTTGTTGAGCGAGGCAGCAATGCCCCTTTCAAAGCTCATCAGCCACAGGCAAAACACCACCTCGTACTGGGTCTGCGGCACAGCCACCACCCCCTTTGTCGTTCTCGATCCCGGCTGCTGGGTGCGGCGGAGGACATCCACGAGCTGGGTAAGGCACGGGGCTGCGTCGTTGTACAAAATAGCTCTGGTGCGCGGGATCCGCAACACCGACTGCATCACCTGGATGGCCACATCGACCACAGAGGTCAGCTCGCTCTTCATGCACTTGGTCAGGTATCCAAAGAGCTGGGCAAACCGAAATCCCCTCTGCACGTCCACGGGCGCCTGAGCCACCAGCCCGACCAGGATCTTGGCCGCCTTGAGCCCCAGGTAGTCGTCCTTCTTCTCCATGCATCTGAACAGCGCCTTGGCGCCATCCGTCTCCTGCTCCAGCAGTCTGCCAATCGCCTCCTTGTCCCCGCCCTCCACCAAATCGTCAATAGCCACCAGCAGATATTGCAGGGCATCGATGCTCGACAGCTTCTCGGCCAGACTAACCAGCAGCGGGACGTAGGCGCTCGGCGGCTGTTTGCTGGCCTTTGCACGTGCCTCAGAGTCCATCTGAACCAAATGCTGGAACTCCTTCAGCTGCTGGAGCTCCTCGCTGCTGATTAGTCCTGCGCGCGAGTAGCCCTCCCATGGAATGGGCTTGACGCGAACCTTGTCTGTGAACTCGTCAAAGAACTGGTTGCTCACCATGGCCGCTGGAACGTCTGGAACCGCCATTATTGAGATGCTCTTGTAATCCCTGTGCGGCAGATTTAAAATAAAAAAGGAAGTGGGGAGCGAGGCTAAGAAATAGTAGAGTAATTACAGCAAAAGAAACAAATAAACGTGCGAATGCGAATAGGCCGAAAGCGAGATGCCGGGATTTA